ACTTGCCTTTTTCTCTTACTTGTCCTCTTCAGTGTTCTTCTTTTCTATTTCACAATAGCATGCTTTAAATTAAATAGGACTGGGTGGTTTTTTGCAAGAGTATTTTTTTAAACATCAGGTTACTGTAGTCAAATTCAAGTAAGTGACTTCAGTAGAGACTTCGCTGAGTGGAACATAAATCTAACTATGTATACGTAACAAGCAGTTTTAAATTATATATTTATATTTTTTGGCCTAAGCTTCTGAAGCTATAAAAAGAGGGATGTAGGAAAACATCTTACCAAAGAGATGTTTTTTGTCTTTCCATTACTTGTTTTTTATTTTTTTCAGAGAATTATATTAGTAATCAATAACTACCAGCTAAAGCAAATACAGTAAAAAACTTTGGGAGACATGTTTGCACAGCTGACAAGTAGTGAATACCAGTAGTGTAATTAGGGTGAAAGGAGTAGGGGGGGGAACAACCAACAAACAAAAAACCAAAAACAACCTTCTCGGAACTAATTTAAGATCTTAGGTCATGAGTTAGGTCATGAGCTTCTTGGCATTTGGTGGGGTATCTGAGTAGACTCTTGGATTATAGATCAGGGCAGGTGCAGAAGACTGTACTATAAATACATTTACCCTTAAGGAGTTCACAAATTTCTTGGGTGACAAACTGGACAGAAATACCTTACTTCTGAAGAGGAAAATTACTAAAATAATTCCGGAATAATTTAAAGCTTTATTTTCCAATAAATCATCCCATAGTTCTTAATTATAAAAGCTAAAATGCTCTTTACCGTTACCTTAGAAATGTTACAGAAAACCTTTTATGGAGTTACAGCATGTATTTATTAAGCATGACTGGCATGTTCTGGGGTATTTCTGTACTCGTTTGCTGCTTACTGAGCTGTGCAGAGAACTGACGTCAGGGTTCTTGCCTTCTATTTTAGGGCCTTCTCTGGCCTTATGGCTGAAGCATGTATGACCAGTTCCTTCAGAGGAAGTTTTGCCATTTATACACTTCTAATAGAAATATTGTTCCTTAGCTCCCTTAGTGTAAAGCTCTCAGAGATCCTCACAGGATAAAATACACTAACTGCAGTGGTAAATCTTGCCTAATTTTGTCAGTGTCTATTGTTTTATTTGTGTTCCAGGTGAATACAGATGTTTTCAATTTCCTATTTTTTGATGATATTCCACACTCATGTTGCTGCTGCTCCCTTTGTCCAAAATGAACTTTACAGTTTTACAAGGGCTGCAGAGGTCTCGGAGACCTTTGAGAAATTAGTTTGTGTTTCATTTATATTTGCTTCCCTATGAGGGAACATTCCACTTTTCAAGTGACACATACAGGCCTATGAGTTCACTCTGACCTAATTTGAATCCTTAATCATCTCTTAAGGGGCATGTTTCCACAGAACTGGCAGAACCAGTTGTAATATGAAGTTAGGTGTCATTTCCTGCATTAAAAAAACAAAGGAAAAGCAACTCCAAGGGTATGTTTGAAGATTTTCCAAATTAATATACCTACCTACCATTTTGTCTGCTAGCAGAATATGTTCCAGTGTGTTTCCAAAGTGTTCCCTTTGACCAGCCCAGTCCATGGACAAAAATGTAGGTCCTTCCCAAGGCAAATTTCTGTCTGGTTAAGAGATGGCAGAAACATGGTATGAAAGAGGCTCCAGCCTTGCTCTGGGAAACGACACCATATTGTCAGTTAGCCTCAAGTGCAACATTACCTACTCCAAGGAATAGTGAATTTCAAAACCAGTATATCCTTCTTTGGTTCTTTGTGTTGGCTGTCTTGATTTTATAAAGGATCTGATTAAATTAACACAATTAAAAACGAGTGCAGTCAGTACTCTCCAGAAGCAAATAAAACTGCTGCTAGGGAGTTCCTGCACCATTTGTCAGTGAGAGAGAGGAGACAGCCACTGTGCTGAAAAACAAAAAAAAAGTAACAAGTTACATTACAGAATTTGTATTATGTCAGAAAAGCAAAGTTTGCAAAAACAATCTGTATACAGTCTTTCTTCACATACCAATTAAAAAGGGAGAGACTATACAAGCTGTTTGATTTCCAAGCCTATCTTTCTTAGCCAGCTGGAACAGAAATTTCCAAGCAATGAAAGGTATAGCAAGCATGTTTACACATGTCTGTACTTTCCATATTCTCTCTACAAGGAAAAATAAAACCTAAATCACTACCAGCCAGTTCAGCCCGATGGATGCAGGTTTATCTTGATATAAACAAAGCTTATTAATTGGACATCTTCATGTGAAAGTGGAACCTCAGTATTTTGTTTTTCTGTGGATGTGATAGCATCCTTCAGGTATTTTTTCAAAAGACTTTTGAGTTCCTTTCGTTCTCCCCATATCTCATACTTTCTCATGTGTTCCAGAGGCTCCCATGTCATGGCTAACATTCTTTTAGAAAAATGGAGCTGCACAGGAATTCTTTAAGAGCCTGTCAGCACCACTCCCAAATTAGCGAGACAGGATACTGTTTGTTTAATTTCGCAAGACATTTGCTTTCCCTAAAGCCAGAAGTACTACCTCAGTGAATCCCCAGCCATGGTTTTCTACACTTTTAAAGGATTTTTTTTTTGTGGCAGGGGAGTACGTTCTTCTAAACTAGGAACAAAACATACTGGTATGTTTCATCATGCAGTCAGGTTGTTGAATAATATGCAACTAGGTCTTTTAAATATTCACTATACTTACTTCAGAAAGGCCCTGATCTGTTCAAATTGGCTATATTGTGAAAGCAAGAGAAGTGCCAAGAGAAAAACTATACTTCAGAGTTGACTGCAACTAAATCTGCATACTTTTTAAATACTCTGTCTGGTGGTTTTGAACATTCTGTGACAGTGCAATGCTGTTTATATTTTGATGGGTTTAAATAGTAGTTTTGTAGTTTTTATGAATCTGATAGGTAGGGATAAAGGAACAATATTGTCTGTATAGGAAAGGGATAATTTCACCCTCTGGAAACACTTAACTTTGTAATTTTTATTATTGTTACTATTATTTTACTATTATTGTCATAGGAGTCTGGTTATTAGACCAACACAGTGAGAAAGGAATGCAGTGAGAAATCATCTTTTCTTTAAGTGGGCATAAGGAAAGCTTCTACTCTGCTAGTGGTCTTCTGCGCTCTCTAGTAGCAGTGTACATGAATCCCCACTCCTAGTTGCGAGCCGCTCTGAACTATGTATAGTTCACAGCTGGATTCAGAGTATGGCCTTTCTCAGCAGTAGGGGAAGATAACTGTTGGTCTGAACCCTGACCAGAGGGGCTTTACTGTCTTGCAGAGCTGAAGGTTCGCTGTGCAGCATGTTTAAGCTCTCCAGGAGCTGGCCTCTGAGGCCTGCTTTGAAAATCCAGCCCTTATTGCCCTGGCAAGTACAGCAGGCCGGAAGCCGTAGGACATTCCCTCCTGTTGCAAAGTAACATCAGTCCAGCTGATCCAGTGACAGCACCACGGCGGAATTTTCTGCTGCAAGTACTGAGCGTAGACAGAGGCTGCTTAATTTTCTTTGTGGAGCCCAAACCCCGTGAGGCTTGTGCACGCCCCTGTACTTTCTGCACTGTATGAGGGAGTGTGCGTTGTGGGGACAGAGCGTGTTGTGTCTTGCTCGCTGTGCTGATGAGACTAAGAGACCCACCAGAAGTGAAAATAGGTCTCCACTTAATTATATGTTATTTTGTTAATTGTTTCTTTCTCTGCTGCCTATCTCTCACTGGCGTTGCAGGCAGAGGGTAGCAAGCTGCCTCTCCACCCAGTTTCTCTGTCCCAGCTCCTCCTGAGCTCCATCCTTCGCAGCTCTGGCTACCCCAGCAGGGCAGCCGACGCAGCGCTGTCCCAGTTGAGGGGTGTTGTAACTGTCCTTTGCCTTTTCTTTTCAAGTTAATGTCTGCACCCCTTGTGTGTACAAGCCATGAGGCAGTCTCCCTGAAGAGCCACCCGTCCCAGCGCGGTACCGCAGAGGAGGGCGGAAGGAGTGGGCAGCACTGGCAGCCGCTGGCACCTCTGCTCTGCCCCAGCACTGCCTGAAATGAAGAGCCCTCCTGTGCCCCAGTGGTCACCTGTCTTGGGGGCCTGGGCCACACCTCAGCCCCTTCCCCTCAGTGTGCATCCTGGGGGGAGCTGAGCCCAGCCCAGCCCAGCCCAGTCCTGCCTGGCTTTGCCCCGAGGTCTGGCCAGCCCAGCACCCCGCTGACCAGCATTTCTGCAGCCTGACTGTTCAGTAGAGATGTCCGTCCCCCACCTCCGTCCCGTCCCGTCTCGTCCCGTCCCCACCCCCCCTCCCCCGCCTCCTCATCCTCCCCTGCCTTTGGCTGCCAGGGGGGAAGGTCTTAAAAAGAATTCATTCCATACGTGCATGCAGTTAACTCCTTGCTGCCCCTCCAGCTGCCCCTCTCCCCGCTGTCTCCTTGCTGCCTAATGCAGCCAGCTCTGCTACCCTCCTACTTCAGAACAGATTGATTTCCTGGAGTGAGGATGGCTCCAGCACGGTGCTGGTGTCACCCAGACACGCTGCCCGCCCCGAGGAGCCTGCACAGCCATCTCTTCTGCTGTCTGCACTCTGGCTTGCTGGTGGTTTTTTGGCTTGGTTGGGTTTTTTGGGGTTTTTTTTCCTCTCTCAGGAGTAGCAACGAAACATCCCGTCTTGCCTATTTGGAAATGGGAACAAATTGCTCCCCTGCCTTACCTCGCCCATTGCATCCCATATATAGTCATATCTACGGTCAAATGGCAGGCAGCAGCAAATAGGAGCGCTCAGCCTCCAAAAAAAGCCGGAGGGGGGAGTGAGAGAGGGAAAGGGGTAGGGACGAATGGAGGAGGGAGGGGAAAAAAAAACCAACCCTTTCCAAAAAAGTATTGGATGTCTTGAGGAATGCAGTCAGCCCCCTGGGAAAGTACATATCTGCGAGGCGCTCCCTGCCCGCCACTTGCACTCTGCCGGCGCCCCGTCTACACGGATCAGCCCCGCCGCCTGGCAGCTCTGTCCCGCTCCCTGGGGGGCCACGACTGGGTCTCGGACTTGGGACTGTCACGCAGTTTTTCAGGTTTTGCTTTCGGGTGCAGTTCGTGCGGGGACGTGCCCTAGCCCACCGCCGCCATGGATGCCATCAAGAAGAAGATGCAAATGCTGAAGCTGGACAAGGAGAACGCCTTGGACAGAGCTGAGCAAGCTGAGGCGGACAAGAAGGCAGCAGAGGAGAGAAGCAAGCAGGTCTGCAGCGAGGGCCCGGGTGTGGTTAGCGTTGGGGCACAAGTCTTTCCAGACAACTCCTCTCTCTCTGTCTTCCCATCCCCCTCCCCCCCAGCACTGTACCTTCTTGTATCTTCTTCCCCCTGCCCCTGAGCTGATTGAACTTTTCCTAAGGTAGAGCTTTATCTTCACCCTGGCAGGCCCTGGATGGAGAATCCCGGGGGCTCAGCAGGAGGTCGTGTCCCCTGCAGCCCAGCTGGGGAGCAGGGCCCTGGGACAGCTGTGCCTTTGTCACAGAGGCACGGCTGGAAGAGGCTGGCTTGACCGCCTAGTCAGCAATGGACAGACGTGCTGCAGTTTGGCAAAGGACACTTAAAGCTGTGTTTGCCCCCTCCAGCACTACTCAGCACACTTGTCTGATGCCAGCTGCCCCCCTCCCCTTCCACATGTGTGTCCCATTTTCCTGGCCTTCTCCAACCCCCCTCCTTTACACCTGGGCTTTATTCATTTTTGGGAGGGGGGCATATTGGTTGCACGATTCTGGGAGATCCTGAAGGAGGAGGGAGGGAGGAAGGAAGAGGGATTTAAAAGTTCCTTTCCCACTTTTCTAAGCCCAGGGAGAAACATGTTTGTGTGTTGTATTTCCTCTTGTGCACTCAGTTAGAGGATGACATTGTGCAATTGGAAAAACAATTGCATGTGACGGAGGATGCAAGGGACCAAGTGCTGGAAGAACTACACAAGTCTGAGGATAGCCTCCTCTCCGCAGAGGAGAATGCTGCCAAGGTATCGTGCCCTTGCCACAAGCAAAGAAAATCTAACTGTCTCCTTCTCTCTCTCTCTCTCTGTCCTTTTCTGTCTCTTCTGCACTCGCACTTCTCCCTTTGCACGATCACATTGCCTGCTGCACCTTTTCCTGCCTGCCCTCCCCTCTCCGCCACTTTCCACCCACATCACAGCTGGAGGACGAGCTGGTGGCTCTACAAAAGAAGCTGAAGGGCACTGAGGATGAGCTGGACAAATACTCCGAGTCCCTTAAAGATGCACAGGAAAAGTTGGAACTGGCTGACAAAAAGGCCACAGATGTAAGTTACCCCCATCCCTTTCACCACCGCCCCGGTACAGAAACCACACACTCCCACTGCACAGGACAGCCAGGACTCCTGCCAAGCGGTGCTGCAAAGCTTTGCTGAGGGCAGGGTCCATGCACCTCCTGGGCACGGAGGTGGGAGACACACCACTGCCTCCTTGCATGAGATTTGCACACTGTTAGAGGCATTTGATTGGGTTTTTGCTCACTCAACACGTGCTTTTCATGTGTACTTGCTGCTCTAGACATGAAAGTAAAGAAATGGAGGATTGTCTGTTCAGGTGATGGGAAGGACAGCTGAGGCTGGAACAACAATATGTTGATAGTGAAGCAGAATCGGAAAGCTAGCAGCAAGTAGATACAGGAGAGGGAGATCCAGAAGAGCAAGGGCTGCTAGTTCTGTCTTCAAGAGAGCTGTTCTAGGCACGCATGCATTAGAACTGCTGCTAGATACTAGTTTGACTTACTGGTTTCCTGAGATAAGATTTTCTCCTAGGGTTTCTCTTTTTTTTTCCCTGAAAATCACTAGAACTGTTTCACTTGTCAAAGAAAAGTTGTCTCATGAGAGAAAATTGTCTGGAAGACGATACTTGCTAGGTTTGTAATTCAGGGGACGGATCCTGGGAGGAAGCTGGGGGATATATATAGCTCAGTACTTTATATGGTAATAATGCAAGAGCCTGTGCCGCTCCCAGGCCCTCATCCCATCCACCTGTCTGCCCCTGACATGCATTTAATGTATTGCGTGCATAGAAGCATGCGAGTTTATTTTCCCTAACAGTTAAGGTCTAGATCTCTATGGCTATTGCTCTACTATACAATTCTGAGTAAATCTCAAGTCTGAATTATAGGATTAGATTAAACCACAGTATTTCCAAAGCGATTACTGTCCTTTTCCTATAACTCAGCTTTAAAAATTAACCTCAAAGCCATAATAAGAAGAGGAGTTGCCACAGATGAAGCAAGCAAAGTATTTCAGGGGGAGGAAGGATACTTTTAGAAGAGGAAATGTTACAAAAAACAACTTTGCATGAAAGACAACATGCTTTTATCTTATTTTACTTCTAAAATGAACAAAGGATAAAAAGGGTTTAACTTCAGTATGGCAATTAAGCTGTATAGCTTTGAAAGAGAACTCAGGAACTTAAGCAGAAGCATGCATAGGAACAGGAGAGGGGTTCTGTGTGTAATGCTGTAATGTGGATCAGATGTCTGTTGTCTTCTGTGTATGGCTGCATAGATGAGAGGCAGCTTTCTAGCAGGACGTTTATTTAACTTGTTCAAAGGAACCACATATAGATCCAGGGGAGATATTCCTTATAAGGAAAAGTATGCAGACTATTTGGAATAGCTTGCCTAGGATGAAGGCAGGAGAAATGCTACTCAGTTCCCTTTTTGAAATTGAAGATCTTCCTAACCAGTCCCAGTGCCATTTTCCTTTACTGGAAAACAGCATTTGGCAGCTAGTTGAGGGCAATTTTATTTGCAGTCATCCCTCAGGTGGAGGGTAGGCAAGTGTCTGGTTGTTTTCATCAAGGTAAATGCTGTATTTAATGGTGTGCATGGAATATGTTTGACATTTTAAGGATGTCTTTATTTTTCTGTCTTCGGGGCGTTGCAGTTGACCCAGTATTTGCCCTACTAGTTTGGAGAGTTCCAAGCCTTAGGAAAAAGACACGGGCAGGGCAGGAAGTGCCAGCTCCCTGGGGTGGACTCGCCTTGCACGGGGTGGGGTGAGGAAATCTTACCTCTCTGCTATTGCTCAGCTCGAAAAAGCCAGGCACATCTCCGGAGCCCCTCGCCTGGGAGGGGGCGGCTGCAGCTCCCTTTGCCCTTCGCGCGTCTCAGGAGCTAGGCCAGGTGCAGCAGTAGCCGGCGAGGGCAGGTTGCTCGGTGTGATTTTACCACTCCCGTACTGGAGTGGTGCAGGCGGAAAGGCAGGTCCTGGCCCTTGTCCCGGCCCCGCTCCAGGGCGGCCCGAAGGAGCCATGGGCCGTCAGGGGGCGCT